CAGGCCCTCGGCCTTCGTCCCTGGCCAGTCCTCTGAGCAGAGTTTCTCCAGCAGCCTGTAGCGGGATGCAGGAGAGAACATCCACGCCAGCTTTGTCCTGTGGGGCAGGAGACTGTCCCACCCCCTCCCACTGAGAGAGAGGACTAGAAGGCTGGACAGAGCCCTGGGACACCTACATGCAGAGTCAACCCGTCCCCACAGAGTGGCCCCGGGAACTTGCTCAGCTGAATCGCCAAGACTTAATGACCAACATAGCTGCCCAGGCCGCGCCTCTCCTGAGAGATGCAAGGGTCCCCACTCTCCCCCAGAACCCAGCACAACAGAGGGCTCCTCCCGTCTCATCCTCGTGAGGCCCAAGGGAGTCCCCCGGGCCCCCCCCCCCATAGAGCCAGGCCAGGCTCCAGCTGACCGGCCCATGATGCCAGTCTGCGACTGTGTTCACGGGGATTCTCCCTTACCAACTCAGGACCTGGACTCCTTGCAGTACCTGGAAGGGCCCCCCTCGGCCAGGCTCAGCGTGGAGAGGTAGACAGAGGGCACCTGGACTCCAGGCCGGCCCACCCCCAGCACCAGTGATCTGGCATCGTGGGGAAAGTCCCTAAGCCTCAGTTTGCTCATCTGAAGCCTGGCCACAGTCCCAGCCGCCCCAGCCTGGGAGCTGAGCCTCGTCGTCACCGTGACAGGCGTGCGGAGAAGGTCTCTGGGGCGACCATTCATAAACACGGAGGTGTTCAACCCAAGGTCACGGCCAGCCACAGCATCCAGGACACCATGCTAAGTCAGGGGCCATTTCCCGCCCCGGCCAGTGGCCGCAGGTGCCAAAGGGTTATACAAAAGCTCTGGGGAGACTTGTGGAGAGTGTGAAAACCCTCTGCACTAAATGAACATTGTCTGCAAACTGGGAAGAGATCACCATTAGTCAATTTACCCTGCACAGCACCTGGGGTCCCACTCACAAGAGCATGGGGAGGACAGGGAGGTTGGCAATCTCCAGTTCCCCTTGGGGAAAGGGGGCTAGGACGGGGCGGGGGAGGGAAAGGCATTCCTGGCTGGCCGTGGGTCCCCACAGAGAAGCAACCGGATCAGAGATTTGCATCTCAGATTTGGCTCCTGGCCACTGGACTCTTCCTCTCCCCAGGCCTCAGTTTTGCTATCTGGGAGATGGCAGAGCTGGAGGAGGGCAGAGAGGAGGACAATAAGCTCCCAAAGGGCCTCAGGGCTCTCTGGCTGTAGAAATTAATAAATGGCCTGGGGCACCAGCCCAGACACAGAGCTGGTGACCCTCGCAGGCCCCTGGAACGCCCTGCCTGGCTCTGGAGAGCAGAGGAAAGGGAAAAGTTCTCCTGGTGGCCGAAGCTGGAACGGAATCGGGTCTCGCCTCCCTCCGGGGGGCGTGCTTGTCTGTTTGGCCAAAGCCGGCCCAACACAAGAAATAACGAACCCTCCGGAGGAGGACCAGGTGGGCTCTTGTCATGAAAAGGATCTTGCCTCGTGAGCGCGCCCCGTGCCCGCTGGTGGGGGCCCCGCCCTCCGCCTGCACTTCTATTTCCTGTGACGACCTGCAAACTGAAGGCCAACTTGCCCCCCCACCCCCCTCCACCCCGCCGCACCCCACCCCACCCCCCACCCGGGCCCCAGCTGCGGGAGGCCCCAGCAAAGTGTAATTCCCCTCACCCTCCTCCTCTCCGCCCTGGGCCCGTCCGGACAGATTAAGCCTTTGTCACACACACCCAGAAAAGCTCAGGGCCAGATGGGACGGGACAAGTGGTGTCAGATCATCGACCCGCGGCCGGCCGGGACGAGGGAAGGGCCGGAGCACAGCACCACATATGGCCGGGGGAGGAGGAGAGGGGGCCCCGGAGAGGGGGCGGCCCAGAGAGAGCCGCATGCAAGAGCGATGACACACCAGGGACGCCCCCCCCCTTGGGACCGTGCCCACGAGGGGGCCCGCGGTCAGCTGCTGGATGACCCCGCTCCCCAAGCCCCTCTCCCCGCAAGTGCGCCCGTTCCCCTCCCTTGCAGTTCTCAGGGCTTCCTCACCCGTCCCTGGGCTGCCCCTCCCCTCCAGCGGGGTGCCCCAGGCCAGCACGGAGTTCCACCCGCTCCAGTACCCACTGCCCCCCACAACACCCGTGGGTGCTAAGCATTTGCACAAGACAAAGATTTATGGGCCAATGACCTTCACCCAAACCCACCCAGGACAAAACTACAGGCTCTCTCCCGATGGCCACCAGAGGCCATGATAAGTTTGATCGGGGGTCTCTGTGGGTGCGCGAGGGGGCGGGGGCAGCGGATGGAGGCAGGGGACACCCTCCGTACCCTTTCAAGGAGGTGCCACTCACCCCCTCCCAGGAAGAGGCCAGGCTGCCCCAGGATTCCAGCAGAATTTGTTCCTTCTTAGATCAGTGAAAAGGAAAATGGGAAGAGGGACATTATCAGTGGGCGCCAGGACGGTGCTGAGAGGGGGTGGCAGGATGGGGCATCTCCCATGCTGGCTGCGGTTGGCTGGGCGAGTGGCAGGTAACTAACTGGCTCTCTGGGGACCCGCGGGGGCCGGGCAGGCAGGGAGCTGGAGGGGCGGGCTGTCGCAGGAGGGCACGGCTGTTGTGTTGTCGTCCTCAGGCTGCCTGGCCAGGGAGGCCTGGGTCCCCTTTCTCTGCCTCCCGGGCAGGTGGTCCCTTGGGGAAGGCTCATTATTGGTCTGGGAGGCAGGATGGAGGTTTGCGAGGCCCCCTGCTGCCTGGGGATGGGGGGCAGAGGGGGTGAGGGGGGCTCAGGAAGGAGCTGAGGGGATGGGCCAGGCGGGCAAAACCCAGAGCCCAGCCCGAACACCCCCTTTTCGGCTCTGGTCTGTGGGGGCATGTGCCTGCCTTAGCTCCACCTTGAAGTCCGCTGGGCTAAGGGGGAAGGGGGGCTTCCCATGATGCCCAGGCCCTAGGGGAGAGGCAGACCCAGACACAGACTCAGCCAGTGAGTCAGCTGCCAGCTCTGAGGGTCACCTGCCGGCAGGACTGGGGCGCCCGCCTCGGACCGGGCACCCCGCGCCCCGGGGGAAGGGATGCGCAGGCTGCGATGGGGGCGGGGTACGGAGGGGCCGGGAAGCCTGGAGGGCTGAGGGCTGGAGCCGGGGCGAGGAGCAGACCCAGCCCACCATCTGCCGGGGCACTGGCCTCAGGGAGGGAAATCACACTTAGAACTGGGGGGACACTGCCCCGGGAGGGGGGAGGCGGCGGGAGCTGGCCGGGTGGGGAGCGCAGGGCCCGGCTGCGGAGAGTCGGTGACCCCCCACTCCGCGGGTGGGAAAGTGGGCGCAGATTTGGGCTGGGGGAGGGGTCCCCGGCTCGACCGGGAGGGAGGCGACAATGACCCGGACTCCCCCGGGTTCGGGGGAGAGCACTGATTTGGGCGGGGGGCGGCCGGCCCGGCCCGCCGGGGACGGGACCCTGCCCGCCCGGCCGCCCCCGCGGCGCGCCCCTCGGCCCGGCCCCCCGGCTCGGGTCCGGCCGGAGGCGGCCGCGGCGCAGATGGGCTGCTGGCCGCCGCGGCCGCCGCGCGGTTATCAGCGCTCCTCGCAGATGGGCCGCCCGCCCTCGGCGCTCGCGGCGCCCCGCTCCCCGCGGCCTGCAGCCCCGTCCCCTGGGCGCGGGGGGAGGCGCCTCCGGATCCGCTCCCCGGCTCCCGCCTCCCTCCCGCGCGGCCCCCGCGCCCCGCGGGCCCGGCCCGGGCGGCCGCCGGAGGGGGAGGGGGAGGGGACAAGTGCACTTTTCGTAACGACCGAATCAATTGTGTGTGAAGAGCCCGCTCCGGCCGGGGCCCGGGCTGCGCGCGGGGCGGGCGGGCCGGCCGGGGGAGGAGCGCGGAGGGGGGAGCGGGGGAGCGCGCGAGGGAGGGAGGCCGGCGCGGGGCGGCCCCGCTCGCTCGCTCGGGCCGGGCGAGGCCGGGGAGGGAGCGGGCGTGGGGGGGCAGGGCGGGCGGCCGGGCCGGCCGGGCCGGGGTCGGAACGCACCCGCGGAGGGTCTCCGCGACGGAAAGTTCAAAGCTCCGCGGCGCCCCGGGAGCAGCCCGGGGACCCCCCCAGCCCCCACCCGCCGCAGAACAATGAGGTCCCGGCGGGGAGCCGCGGGGCCCGCGCCGCACGCCCTCTCCAGGGCGCCCCGGGCCGGAGGGGACGCCCCCGCCCAGCCGCCCGCCTCCTCCTCCCCGTCCGCGGCTGCGGTTCCCCGCCCCCTCCCCCACGCCACCCCGCCCGGACCGGGCCGGCCCCGGGGACGGGGGAGGGGAGGGGATGGATAGGTCAGGCCGCCCCCGTCCCGGGGAGGGGGGAGCTAGGGGCCCGGGGGGCGGAGGGGGCGCCCCACCCACCCGCGGGAGGCTGCTCCTGCGCCAGGCTGCGGCTCCGGCCGCCCCTCCCCGGGCCAGCCCCGGGTGGGGTCGGGGCGCCAGTGCCCCGGCGGGGCCCCCTCCCCAGGCGCTGGGGAGCAGGACTCCCCGTCCCGCTGCTGCCCCTGCCCACCCCCTCCCGCGGCACCACCCTCCCCACACACAGACACACACACACACACACACACACAGATACACACACACACAGGCACACACGCACACGCCGCCCAGCCGGCCCGGGGGCGGGAGCGCGAGGCGCCCGGGACAGGCAGCCCCGGGGCGGGCGGGGGCGCGGGGGGGAGGCTCGGGCTCCCGAGCAGCCGCCTGCTGGCGGGGGGAGGGGACAGGAGGACGGAACATGCTGGGGTGAGCAGCCCGGGACAGCCCGCCCGGCACGGCCACGGCCGGGCAGCGGCGCAGAGGGGGGCAGGGACGCCCCGAGCCCGGAGCGCTGCCCGGGCGGGCGGGCGAGCGGGCACGCGTGCGCCTCGGGCGGGCCGGACCCACGGACAGGCTCAGGGACACCCGTTCGGACACACACCCACACGGCCCACACCCCGCCCCCGCCCGCCCCGGTCCCCGCGGCGGGACCGGCCCGCGGCCGCCGCGCGCGCACTCACCGAGCCCGTCTTGACCGGCACATACACCACTTGGCCCATCTTGGGTTCCCGGCCGCTGCCCAGGCGGAAGCCCTTGGAGCGCACCCAGAACTGGAACTTGCCTTTCTCGCCGGCCGCGGGGCCGCTGCCCGCGCCGGTCCCGCCGCCGCCCTGCAGGACCTCGGCGATCCGCTGGTATTTGCTGCGTGTCACCGTCTTGGTTTTGGCCGAGTCGCCGTAGGTGCGCAGGCACCAGTCCCGGAACTGGCGGCCCAGCTCCGAGTCCCCGGGGCTGCGCTCGCGCTCCCAGCCCCCGCGCAGCAGCAGCGTCGGCTTCGGCATCCTCCCGCCGCGCCCGGCGCCCTCGGGGGCGGGCCGGCTGTCCGGCCGCCCGGTGCCGGCACGGGGCTGGGCTGGTCCGGGCCGGGGCGCGCCGCGGCCCGGGCTGTCCCGCGGTGTGGCTCTGGCGCGGCTGCCTGATGGGCACGGGCGGCGGCCGGACGCGCGGGGCTGCGGCGCGCTCTGTCCTGCTCGGGCGGCGGCGGCGGCGGCGGCGGCGGCGTTGGCGGCGGCGGCTCCGGCTCGCCTCCTGCTCCGCCTCCTCCTCCCCCCGGCCGGGATGCAGGAGCGATGGAGGCAGCTCCGGGCCCGGAGGTGCAGAGGGGGCGGGCCGCCCCGCGGGCGGCCGGGGGGAGGCGGGAGGCGGGGAGCGGCCCCGGGCGCGGGGAGCGAGACCGAGCCTGGGCGCGGGCGGCGGCGGCGGCGGCGGCGGCTGTCAGCTCGCGCGGCTCATCCTGCTCCTGCTCGGGCTCCCGCTGCCGCTGCTCTTCCTCCTCCTCCTCCTCCTCCTCCTCCTCCTCCTCCTCCTCCTTCTTCTCCTCCTCCTCCTCCTCCTGCGCCCGCCTCCACCACGCCGCGGGATCCCACCTGTTAGAGCGTCGCAGCCTTCGCCGCCGCCCCCCCTTCCCGCGCCCGCCCGCGGGGCCCAGCCCCCGCCCCGGCCCGGCCCCTGGGGGCGCGGGGGCTGCCGCGCCCGCAGTCGCCTGGAGGGCAGGCGCGCGTCCCCGTCCGGGGCAGCCACTTTCCTCGGGCCGGGCCTGGCCCCGAGCCTCTCGGGCCGCCCTGGGTCCGGACCGCCGGGGCTCACGGCCAGTGGGGCGCGGCCCCTCCCGGCTGCGGCGCCCTCGCCTTCGCGCGGGGCGCCTCCAGATTTTTGCCCCGCGCGGAGGTTCTTACCCGGCAGGTTTCCTGCTCGCCTCCCCTCCTGCGACCGGCCAGACTTTTTGGCGAGCGAGCCGGGTGTCAGAAGACCAGGGCTCCCCTTTAGGGTACCCCCCTCGGGGTCTCCCGAAGTTCCCTCCCTTCCCCCTTACCCCGCACCCCAAATTCCCCTGGAAGTTTAACAGGCTTCGCTTGGGCCAGTCCCGGACCCCAGAGAAATCGTTGCCCTGGGTGGGGGAGGGGGGCGCTTATTCAGAACCCCCTACCAAGGCTCTGGGTTATGCTCAACACTCACGCAAACCCCTTCCGTGGCACCCTCTCTTGCTGGCTGCATCTCGGCCTAGTGGCCCTGACCTCCCACTCTGGCCAGTGCCCCCGAGAGGACTGACCAGGGTGGAGCTGGCCTCACTCCCTGAATGAAATTCCTCACATGAGTACTGGCACAGACCGATCACCCACCGTTTCTGCCCTCTTATCCTAACAGGTGCCCCGCCCTTACCGCTGCTCTGCCCCATCCTGCCTGGGGGCGCCCCTCTCCGCGTATGCAGCCCACTGTCACAGGCAGGCCACACCCCACACAGGCCTGGGTTCTGGCCAGTGCAGGACTATTTTCTGCCTGGAAACAGCCGCTACCCCCATCCCGGTCTCCACCGCGGGACCAGCAGTGGCCGTGTCCAGGCAAGTCTGAGAGGCCTAAGGACCTGGCCCTTCTCACTGAGGCAGGCCTGGTGCTCATGGAGGTGGCCGGACCCGTTCAAGGTCATGCAGGGAGGAGAGGCAGGTTTCCGTCCAGATCTGCCCGGCTCCTGCCCTCCAGCGAGGGGGACCCCCCCAGACGGTCAGTGCCCAGTGGACTGGGAGCCCCAGATAGAGCCTCTGCATCTGAGTCACCCCAGTCCCAGCTTGGTGGAGGTGCCGGTACAGGCTGAATGAGCCTAAGAGGTCTTCCAAGTCCCAACCTCTCTGCATTTCACATAGGAGATTTATTTTTAGATAATTTACATTTCCATGTTACTTTATATACACCAACTCCACAGTCATTTTTCCTCTGTATCTCCCCAAGAGCTCTCTTTTTGGTTCCCTGCTAGCATGCCCACTTTTCAGAGTGACCACTGGGGCTCAGAGAGAGGAAGGTAGTGCCTAAAGGCCACCCAGCCGCAGGGGTACAGGCGGGGGCCTCCGTGAAGCCTGGAAGCCCCCTTAGTGTGTCCACGCCACTGCCCTGATGTGGGCACCCTCCCATGTGGGAACCGAACTGCACAGGAACCCTGAGGAGCGTTTCCAGCGAGGGTGCCCGGGTGGCTCCGGGGAAGGACAGCTGGGGCGTGGGCCGGGTATGGGGTGCAGGGGAGACTCTGTCCAGTCCTAAGACATGCTTCAAGAACCAGCCCATGGCTGGAGCGATAGCACAGCGGGTAGGGCGTTTGCCTTGCATACCGTTGACCCGGGTTCGATTCCCAGCATAACATATGGTCCCCCAAGCACCGCCAGGAGGAATTCCTGAGTGCGTGAACCAGGAATAACCTCTGTGCATTGCTGGGTGTGACCCCCCCCAAAAAAAAGAACCAACCCAGCCCACTTCTCCCTGTCATCTGGGTCTCTGCCTGCCTATTAGAACCTCAAAGCCGGATGGTGATGAGTTCTAGTGTGGTCCAAGATGTGGCCTCATAGAAGGACCAGGGGCTTCGAGTAGCATCACTCGGGCTAGGGAGCGGATTCCAAAGACTCTGCCAAGGAATTCCTCACCCCTGCAGCTCCCAGGCAGCTGCTTCCCCGCAGAGTGAACCCATCCATCCCCCCATGCAAGCTGACCTTGGACAGAACCCTATCTTTGCCCTCTGTCTAAGGGCAGGGCACTGTAGATAGAAAGACTAAAGCAATTATATAGGAGCGTGCCTCACATTTAAAGGTGTCCCACGGACATCCCCGACTCTTTAGAGGCTAAAAAGTACTCCAGGATCCCAAGAGATAGTACAGTGGGTAAGACATTTGCCTTGCACATGGCTGACCTGGGTTTGATCTTTGGCACCTCATAGGGTCCCCCATGCATTTCCAGGAGTGATCCCTGAGCACAGAGTCAGGAGTAAGACCTGAGCACTGCTGGGTGTAACCCAACAGCAAGAAAGCAAAGTGCTCGGGGCCAGAGAAATAGTACAACGGGTAAGACGCTTGCCTTGCACTCACCCGAACTGGGTTCAATCCTCAGCACCACATAAGATCCCCTGAGCCCCACCAGCAGTGATTCCTGAGTTCAGAACCAGGGGTGGCCCAAACGTGCTCCCTCTGCTATCCCCATGTCCCACACACCCCGCCCCCCCCAAAAAAGAAATAGTGCTGAAGCAGGAAGAAGAGCACTGTTGATACACTCTGTGTTTCACTGAACAAACATTCCTGGAGCAGCCATACGTGCCAGGGGCTGGGGATAGACCCCGGGAGTCCCAAGGTCCTCGCTAGGTGGGGAAGATGGGCACTGAGCCCACCTTTCCCCTAATTACAGGGAAAGCTCCTGCATCTGCCAGGGAAGGGGCCCGGGAAGCCACCGGGAGCTGTCCACACACGCGGGCTGGGAGGTTCTGCTCCTTCCCCCACTCCTCTCTCTAATTTGTTTTCGTGACCACACCTGAAGGTGCCCAGGGCTTTCTCCTGGCTCTGCATTCATGCATCACTCCTGGACGTTCTGGGAAATCCATGTGGGGTGCTGGGAACCGAACCTGGGTTAACTTCATGCAAGGCAAGCATCCTACTGATTGTATTCTCACTCTGGTCCCAAAACTGCTTTTCTTACGGGGGATGTAAGGGGTGGCACAGGGGTGGAAGGAGTCAGGGAAGACACCCTTAGGACACCCTCAGGGAAGGTAGCATTTGAGCTGTGACCAAGTCAGAGGTCTTTTTTTTTTAATTTTTTAAAAATTTTATTTATTTATTTATTTTGCTTTTTGGGTCACACCGGCATTGCACAGAGGTTACTCCTGGCTCTGCACTGAGGAATCACTCCTGGTGGTGCTCGAGGGACCATATGGGATGCTGGGAATTGAACCCCGGTCAGCCGCGTGCAAGGCAAAATGCCCTACCCGCTGTGCTATCACTCCAGCCCCCAAGTTAGAGGTCCTAAACTGCCAGTCCACAGACCCTTCCAGGCTTCTGGGTGGAAACAGTTGGAAACTACTGACTTAAATGAAAGGGAGCAGCCGAGTTCAGGCCTGGGGGTACAGCAGGCAGAAGCCTGGGGTGGGGGAGAGTGGTGTTTCACAAACCAGCAGAGGCCAGTGTAGCTGGAAGAGAGCGAGTGAGAAGGAACGGGTGGAAATTGAGGCCAGGGAAAGATACTGGATTACATTCTAGAAGTATGGGGAAGCCATTAATGAATTTGTTTGATTATTTTATTTTTTTTGTTTTTTTTTTTTGGTTTGCGGAGGCACGCCCTACAGTGCTCTGAGGCTATTCCAGGCTCGGTGCTTGGGGGACCAGGAGGAACCAGTGATCCAGCCCAAGGCTCCTGCATGTAGAACATGTGCTCTGGGCCATCTCCCTCCCTTCTCCCACTGGTGAATTTTATTTTACTATTATGAAAACTTTGTTTGCTCGGAGGCCACACCTGAGAGTGCTCAGGGCTTTCTCCTAGCTCTGTGCTCAGGGCTCGCTTCTGGCAGTGCTCGAAGGACCAGACGGGGTCACAGGGATAGGATCTCAAGACAAGTTGGCCACATACAAGGCTAGAGCCTGACCCTCTGTTCTGACTCTCTGGTCCTCCGTTGGTCTATTCTATCTTCTGTTTTTGTCTTTTTGCTTTGGTTTGGCCACATCTGGTCGTGTTCAGGGCTTACTCCTGACTCTTCGCTCAGGGATCACTCCTGGTGGTGTTTGGGGAACCATATAAGGGTGCTGAGGATTGAACCTGGGCTGGTTCTTAGAAGGCAAGTGCCCTCCCCACTGGACTATCTTTCCGGACCCCACTGGTAAATTTTTTTTTTAATCAAATCATCATGAGATACACAGTTACAAAGTTGTTCATGATTGGGTTTCAATCATACAATGTTCAACACCCGTCCCTTCACCAGTATACATTTTCCACCACCAGTATCCCCAGATTCCCTCCTGCCCCCCTCCCCACCTGCCCCCATCCCTCCACCCCAGCCTGCCTCAATAGCAGGCACTTCTCTCCTCTCTCTCTCTTTCTCTCTCTCTCTCTCTCTCTCTCTCTCTCTCTCTCTCTCTCTCTCTCTCTCTC